GTCCACCAGGTTGGGCCCGTCCTCTGAGTCCATGGGGGGGTTCTGCTGGCGGGCTTGGCCAGGCCTCAGTAGCCTGGGCAGGGAAGCTTTGGCTGGCCTCCGGGGAGGCAGCTGAGGGCAGCCTAGCCCGGGTCTTAGCCTCCCCAGGCAGGAGCTCCGGACAGGCCTCCAGCTCCTTCAGAGGCTGGGCCCTGACTGAGCTCCCCAACAGCCTTCTTATAGTCCTAGCCCCGCCCTTTGACTTCCGGTCAGGTGAGGGGGTGGGGCTAGGCTGGACCCAAAATGGCTCCCCGAGGGGTTCCTCTGCCTCTGGCTCAGTGGGTGGCCACTCTACCCCACTACAGTAGGGCACTTGCCTTTTATATAGAAAGAACTAAACCTTTCTGTAAAACAGACCGCTTAATAGTCTACCTCTCTGAGGGTATGTCTACACTCCCCTCCTAGTTCGAACTAGGAGGGTAATGTAGGCATACCGCATTTGCAAATGAAGCCCGGGAAATTCAAATCCCGGGCTTCATTTGCATAAGCGGGGAGCCGCCATTTTTAAAACCCCGCGGGTTCGAACCCCGTGCAGCGCGGCTACACGGGGCTCGAACTAGGTAGTTCGGACTAGGCTTCCTATTCCGAACTACCGGTACACCTCCGAACTACCGGTCCACCTCGCCGTGCTGCACGGGGTTCAAACCAGTGGGGTTTTAAAAATGGCGGCTCCCCGCTTATGCAAATGAAGCCCGGGAAATTCAAATCCCGGGCTTCATTTGCAAGTGCGGTATGCGCGGCTACACGGGGCTCGAACTAGGTAGTTCGGACTAGGCTTCCTATTCCGAACTACCGGTACACCTCCGAACTACCGGTCCACCTCGCCGTGCTGCACGGGGTTCAAACCAGTGGGGTTTTAAAAATGGCGGCTCCCCGCTTATGCAAATGAAGCCCGGGAAATTCAAATCCCGGGCTTCATTTGCAAGTGCGGTATGCCTACATTACCCTGCTAGTTCGAACTAGGAGGGTAGTGTAGACATACCCTGTCTGGACCCCCCCCTGCCGACATCAAAGCCCTTTGTCGGCAGCCCCGTTATTCCTCGTGGGATGAGGTTTACCGGGTCTGCCGACAAAGGGCTTTGATGTCGGCAGGGGAGCATCCAGACTAGCGCGCTGAGCGGACAAACAGCTGTTCAGCTGTTTGTCAGCTCAGCGCGGCAGCCATGTAAATTTAAATGAAGCTGCAATCATTTAAATCGCAGCTTCATTTGCCTTTGCCAAAACAACAAATCTACATGGCTCCGTTGACAGAGCCCATGTAGTTTAGACATACCCTAACTGATCAAAAGGTGAAGCATTATCATCTCAATGGGTTATGAAACTTATCACTTCCTGCATCACTACGTTCTACTCCATACAATACACACTGCTTCCAGTTCAGCGAAGGGCTCATTCTACAAGAGCAGTAGCAGCATCAACAGCCTTTCTGAAAAGTGTTCCCCTCAGAGACATCTGTCAGAAAGCCACATGGTCATCTCATGATACTTTCACAAAGCACTATGCAATCGTGCATCGACGGGCTGCAGATACTTCACTAACATCAGCAGTACTTTCCTCAGTGGTTATACCGTGACTCCAGAACCCTTCTTCCGGTCATCTCAGAGAACTGTTACACAGTTACCTACAGTGGTGCACCTATGGGGACATCATTCAAAGAAGAAAAGGAAGTTACTCACCTTGGTGCAGTAACGACTGTTCTTGGAGATGTGTGTCCCCGTGGGTGCTCCACTACCCACCCTCCTCTCCGCTTCTTACGTTTTTCAGATGCTGGGGTGGATTTGAGGAATTGGTGGGAGCCAGACTGCGCACGTGTGTAAATGGGCATTAATGCTGTGAGGCGCCGGCTGTGCATGCGCAGTCCGGCTGACCACCGCTATAAAGAATTCCAATCTGCAGTGCCAGGATGAGCCCGACACCTGCAGTGGGCACCCCCGGGGACACACATCTCAAAGAACAGTTGTTACTGCACCAAGGTGAGTAACTTCCTTTTCTCAATGGTGCTGTAGGTGCTGGTGGATCACAAGGGCTGTTTCACCAACATCAAAGTGGGGATGTTTGGAAAAGAGGCATGATTCACACATCTTTAGGAACTCGTGCTTCTTCAGAAAGCTGCAAACTGGAACTTTTTTCCAGACCAGGAAATTAGAGTCAGAGAGGTGGAAATGCCAATAGTGATTCTTGGTTACCCAGCCTACCCCTTGCTTCTGTGGCTCATGAAGCTGTACCCCCAGCAGCCTGATCTACAGTAAGGAGCCATGCAACTATAGGCTGAGCAAGTGCAGAATAGTGGTGAAATGTGTTTTTGGACATATAAAGGGAAGGTTTAGCAGTCTACTGAGTAGGTTAGTCCTCAGCGAATTCAGCATTCCCTTTGTAGTGGCAGCCTGATGTCTGCTTCATAATATTTGTGAGAGCAAGAGGGAAAGTTATCTGTCAGGGTGTGGGCTGAGGCAGAAGGCTTAGCCAAATATTTGGAGTAGCCAGACCCCTACGCAATAAGGAGAACACAGCTCAGGGCAGTGCAAATCAGACACACTTTGAAAGAAAGTTTTATGAATGGACAGTTTTGATAATAATTCACGTTGCTCTCAATGAGGTGCCCCTTCACTTGGTGTGTTTGCCTGTAATTTCTCCCACCCCACCCCTGCAATATAAGCAATGCATTTTTATTTAGGGAACACAGCAGGGACAGAAAAAGAATCCATGGTGGGACCCTTGGGGGGGAAGGGAGGGAAGGGAATCAGAAATGAGTGAAAGACAACCTTTTGCTTCACAACACTTCCCTAGAGGTTGAGTGTGAAACTGTCCTTTAATTGCCCTCCCTCCCGTGCCCTAGGACCTTTGGGGGAGAAGGCTATGGAAATGAGTGAGGAGTGGATGTTGTTCTGCAAGAGGTGGGGAGGGAGAAGCCTTTCCAGGTATGCATCTTAGAAAGCTGCCATATACTCCATCACAGACATCAGGGATGATCAGACATTCTTCTGGTGCTTCATTTGCAGTTCCCTATATGTTCTCCTTTGCTGATGCTCAACTCTGTTACCTGATGCTCTGCTTACATTTTCTCCAGTAACGTATTCCTCCACATCATTTGCTCCTTAAACATAACTTCCCTTATCCATTTTTGCCTGTGGATTGGTGTGAGCTGGACAGCTGCTGGACCTGGGGAAGTACTAACCAAGCTCCCTGCTCTTACCACTGTAACAAAAAGTTGCAAGTGCACACATTACAGGAGATACATTGTGGAGTCTAATATACAGTGAAGGTCTCCCTAAAGACAAAAGAGATGTGTTCTGTGCAAGGCCAAAGCTATGCTTTAAAGCAGCCACTGTACAGCAGATATACAAGAGAATTCTCAAGGGAACATCAGGATTCATGTAGTTTGGAGGCAGGCACGGTAAGAGGTCTTGCAGGGCACAATCCTGCTGGCAGGAGGGGGAACAGGATCAGGTTGTGCCAGTGAGGTAGTGTGGTGGGCTCATGCAGTGTCCCTCTGTTTCAGGCATACCATGCTTATTGGGAAAGTCCTACTTTTCCATACTGCAAGTGACCCTGGGTGAGTGAAAGGACAGGGTCTAGTCATGCTGGTGGGGCATGGCAGCAACTCATGTGGCTTCCCTTTCTCTCTGCCACACCCCGCTTTCTGGAAGAGTACTGTAAGTGGGAGGAAGGGAGAGGGTGCCAGACACTGAGGCCAGGCTAGCAGCAGAGGCAGGAGCCAATGGCTTCCCTTCCTTCATCCAGGTTGCCATGGCAGATATCAGTCTTCTCCAACTCACATGGAGTGATAGGGAGCTTATACTAACTGAATGTGGCCAGAAACTTGGGCCTTATGCTGCAATGCTTTGTGCTGCAATGATGCCAGACCATTTACTATTGCCTTGGCATGGGAAGGTGTCCTACCATAGAGACAAAATTAGTCAGGTTTTCCCAGAAACCTTGTGAGAAGGATCAGTGTTTCTCTAGGACAGCTTCATGGAGATGTGCAGGGAGGATTCCTGCTCCATTTCCAGACATGTTAACAAGCTGTTCTGCCCCCAACCTCATGCTGTTTAGGCAGAGAGTACACCACACATCACACCCAATTGCCTTAATCTGCATTTAGCAAGAAAAAATATGAACTCACCAGAAGTGCACTCTCTGGGATCAGTGCCTGACTGAGAGACATGCTAGGAGGAGTGGATTGTCTCCAACGTTATAAAAAGTTTTAAGTTCTTGACTTTCACCACTCACCAGCTGTCCATTCTCCTTGTCCTCCTCCACCACAACACTGTCCACTACACTGCTGCCTTGAGTGTCTTTGGAGGATTCCGTGTCCTGGCTTCGGAAGCTGGTTGTGTCCCCCACTAAGCTGCCTGTAGAAGTGGCATGTTTGTGGCAATGCACTAGGCCATTTATTTGCCTCCTTTGTCTTTTGGTAGGACTGCCTTTATTTTAAAACAGCACTGCTGAGTGTCCCTGGCATATCCTTTCTCCATAATGGACTTTGTGATCTTTGCATAGATATCGGCATTTCGTTTGCTAGTTCGAAGCTCCATGAGAATGGGTTCCTCTCCCCACACCTTGATAAGATCCAAGATCTTCATATTCTATGCTGGTGTCCTTTTGTGCTCCTGGGAACTGGAACTCATGGAACTTGAACTCATGGCCACATATGCTGCTCAATTGTGCTGCCTGCTTTGAGGTGTTCTTGCAATATTGTCCACATGGGAAATAAAATTAAAACTTTCCCAGGGCATTTGACCCAGGCTAAGGTTTTGGGGGCTCTGTGCTTAAGTAGGATGTGGGGCCTGGAAGGGATGGGGGCCAGGCAATGAATTGTAAAAAATATGCAGACTTGTAGAATATCTTATAACTAGTAGTACATTAGCCATTAATTTAAATTGTTCATATTTGGGGCTCTCAAATACTGTTTGAATGTTATCATCCCATTAGTCAAGTTTAAAATCATCTCAACTTTTTAGAAAATGAAATGGAACAGATAGCATTAAGAAAACGTCTCCTGCTTGCAAATCTGCCGTCAGCTTTTCCATACATGTCCCCACCATCTAATCTACCACCACTCCAAATAAGATTAAATAACCTCCCTGGTAAGTAGAGGATTACTAGAATAATGCTTTATTCAGATAATGTTTTTTTTTAAGATTATGTTTTCTAGAGAAATTCAATGGTGGACTATATTGGGGTTCTTATTTACCCAGAATCATACGTTCAAAGATAGCACATAAAACATACATGTAAAATCTATTAATAACAAATAAAAAGACATCATAAACACCAGCTTCTGAGACAAGTGTTAATTTTTTTATTTGAGTGGCTAGCCAATGTTTAGGGACTTGAGAGTTCTACATGGGAGTAGAAATTGATGATGGACTCTAGTAATTTCTTTGATGCAATCTTGCTTATTACAAGAAATGTTTAAAGGCCTGCTTCTCTGGTCATAGGCAGAACCAAAATCAGGAAAATACTTTCTTGTTTTCAGCACCAAATTCTTTCAGCCAGCTTGTTCAGGTTGTGTGTCTGACTTTCCATCTATTTGTCTCTCTTTCCTTTCCTTTTCTTGGGTGTTTCAGCATGCATGCAGTTCCATGAAAAGTCTTAGTTTTTGCATTTGGAATTCCTTGCCACATGTTTCAGCTTATATTCAGCTTTTCCATAGGTACTATTTGGGTACTATTGTTATTTTTTCAGTTACCTGATAACAGTGTTTTTTACATGATTTCTGAATAGTAAGTAGTGGCTTCACCAGACCCATAACAATGCTAATAGCTAGTGTGTCAGCTCTGCTTTCTTGAATTCTTAAGGTAAAGTTCTAGTTCAAATTATGATGTAACCAGTGATCATATATGAAGCAGAATTTGTTAATTTCAGTGTACTGAGCTAATTCTGTCTCCAAAGCCACAGGTTGATACAATATTATTTTTCACCATATGCCTAAAAATGTAGGGTGGTGTTACTGCGTGCTGTAAAAAAACCTATTTTTTTATCCATTTAACAGATAGTTGCCTTTTGGTCTTGAAAAGTTCTATGTAAATTTGAGGTAGAATTAAAAGTTATATATGGGATGAATAGTAGAAAAATAACCATTGGCATATTTTTACCCCTCATTGTGTGTATCTATATCTATATCTGTTTTAAATGTAATTAATGATACATTGTTTAAATATTTTCTTGGTGAATAATCTAAGTTATTTTGTCTCAATAGAGAATGAAATACAAGAATTATTAGACAAAAAAAGGCATCATTCTACAAGTCAAGTATTCAGTCTGGACTATCTGTCACAAGCAGAGGCCCTTGCACAGATTCTGGTAGAACAAAACATCATGGGTAAGTGAAGAGTTCCAAAAGAAAAAAAAAAAAAAAAAAGGCTGCAGTCAAATATATTTCTAAGTTCTGCAGAAATGCCATAGACTCCTCTCCTGTGCAGTGTAATCCTGATTAAAAGCAATCTGTTATGGTGCAATCTTCTGGTAAACCAGTGTTTTTCCAGATGCTTTACCTTTCTCACATTAATGTCACAAGATGGCACTTGTGATATTCTTCAGCATGCCTAAACTTATTTCAGGCTGTCATTTATGCATGTTTGAATAACAGGATATATATCTGGACAATTGCCTTCTGAAAGAGTCAACCTATAAAGACATAGAATGAGTGGTCAGCATCACCAAAATCCTCTTCAATAAGCTCAGCCTACAGCTAAATCTCCAAAAGCAACACTAATCCCAACACAACAGTTGGAATTCATTGGCACTAACCTAGATTGCATGTCTGTCATAGAATTGCTTCCTTGGTAGAGGTTTCTAGTGCTCACAGACATGGTAGCTACAGCACAGAACAGCCTGTAGGTTGCACACTCTCTCTACAACTCATAGGCCACATGACAGCAGCTTTATTCCTGGTCCAGCATGATCAACTACACATGAAAACACTACAGACATGGTTACAAACAGTATACAGACCATACTTTCACCACATCAACAAGCAACTATCTATGCCAGTCAGAATAAAGGGGTCACTACCCTGGTGGATAAATCAACTCATTTGCAATGGTATTCCCTTTCATCTTCAACCACCATCAGTTATGATCACTACAGAAGCTTCTCTCCTGGACTGAGGGGCCAATATCAACCACCATACTGTCCAAGCACATTGGTCTCCAGAGGAATCCAGGATTTATATAAATCTGAAACTCAGAGCAGTGTGCAATGCATGCCAGTGTTTTCTTCCTTTAATTCAGAACAGAATGGTACAAATTTTTACAGACAATCTAATGACAATGTACTATATAAACTGTCACAGCAGGACCCAATCTTACCTGCTATACTCAGAACCAGTTCAACTATGGAAGTGATGCATTCCTCACAGCATTCATCTGAGAGCCACCTACTTGCCAGAAAAGGACAATATTATAGCAGACAAACTCAGCAGACATTTTACATTAAATTACAAGTGGGAACTCAATTCCAAAATGCTCACCCCTGTATTCAAAGACTGGGGATACCCTACAATAGACCAATTATTCGCAACCATCATCAATGCCAAAACCTCACAGTTCTGCTCGCAAGCAGACAGCAGCCCTCAATCATTTGGGGACTCCTTCACAATAAAGAAGAATGCACCCCTCATATATGCTTCCCCATCACTACCACTTTTCCATCATGTACTCCGTAAAACAAAATGGGACAGAGCCACAGTCATTCTAGTAGCATTCAGTTGGCCCCGACAAACATGTCCTACAAATGATGATGATGACCTCATGATGCTTTCCATCTATCCCTCACCTTCTCATGCAGATTAAGGGTCAACTATGTCATCTGGTCATACAGACTCAGGCTTGGCTCCTTGCTGACTGACATCCATTGAAATACCCAACTCCAGACTGGGACCTCAATTTAGTACTAAGGGCATTAACAGGCAGACTATTTGAACCCCTGACTACCTGCTCCCTATTATACATATCCATGAAAGTGGCCTTCCTAGTGGCCATTACTTCATCAAGAAGGTGGGCAAACTCAGAGCCTTTGTGGAAGATGTCCTCCCTATACAATGTTTTATAAGGACAAAGTCATTCTCTGTCCACATCCCAGGTTTCTACCAAAAGTACCTATCTCCTTTCATAGCAATGAGCCAATATACTTACTTGTGTTCTTCCCAAAACCTCATAGAGACAACAGAGAAACAGTTCTGCACTCCTTGGATGTCTGCAAGGCAATTGTCTTTTATTTAGAAAGAACTTAGCCATTCCGCAAATCCTCAACACTCTTTGTTTCAGCTACAGAAAGATCCCAAGGCATGACTATCTCTTAACAAAGATTATCCAAATGGATCTCTTAATGCATTTGGCTCTCTTATTGCACCTTTAATCAAGAACCCCAACTGGTAGTGCAAGCTCACTCCACGAGGGCAATGGCTGCCTCTACAGCATACCTAAGGAACTTGCCTTGAACTGACACTTTCAGAGTCTCAACCTGGGTTTCTGCGCACACCTTTGCTAAGCATTATGCCTTGGAGAATTACTCAGACTCTGGTACACACTTTGGACATACTTTCTACGGTTCAGGCTAACAAACTGAAGCTCCCTGCTTCATAGTCACTTCAGGTGTAGCATCCACAGTGGCGCTCCTCAAAGAAGAAGAGAAGTTTACTCACCTTGTGCAGTAACAGAGGTTCTTTGAGATGGTTGTCCCTGTGGGTGGCTCCACCACCTGCTCTTCCTCCCCTCTGCTTCAGAATCTTCCATTTCTGGGGCAGAGAAGGAACTGAAAGGCTGTACATGCATAGTAGACGCTCTGGTGCGTGCCAATAGCTCATTCTGTGCTGGCTCTGGGGTTAACTACTTCCTCAAACTCGATAAGGAGATCTAGGTTGTCAACTGTGTCTCCTTGTCAGGGGCCAATGATGATTACATCTTCAAATTCAATTGCCACTAACTGGCTTAGGTTAGGGTGGCTTTTATTTTTCCTCCCCCCACTTCCTTAAGCCAAATGTGTCAGCGTGTGAGGGAAAGGTTTTGGCTGGTTATCGAAACTGAGGCTCTAGTGTCAATTAACATTTTGCACGGTTGACCCCCCACTTGTGCGTTAAGAAACATTCTAGGGTCACCTGCAGATCCAGCCACGGAGGCCGCTGTTACCTATTTGCTAGCAAGGATCTTAAGAATCTCTTGGATTTGCTTGTCAGCTGTCCCTGGTTCCTGCACACTGTCCTGTGCCTCTCAGGTATTACGAGTGGTAGGTGTGTTCTGCTTGTTTGGCCATTGTCCTTCCTTCCCCCCGCCAGAGTGGAAACACTCCTCCTTAGTATGGCCAGCCTTCTTAAAGTTGCCACAAAGTTTGACCTTTTTCTTGCAATGACATTCCCGCATCATGTGCCCTGGTTTTCCACAGGTGTAATAGAGAGTGCTATTGAGTGCACAGATTGTGGCTTCCTCCTCCACTGCACTGACTGATGCTACCTCCTTTTTCTTTCTGTTCTCTAAATTGGTAGCCCACTTCATGATGTCTGCATAGGTGTTTCCGACCGAAATGCCTAGGGCCAATACGGCTTGATGGTCAGCAGACATCCCTTCCTTCAGAATTTGGAGGAACACCTTGTGGTATCTCTGGGTTACGCCGTCTAGACCAGAGTACGAATGGAAGGCGTTCCATTTTCTCTCAGCATATGATACAATGGACTTTCCCTTCTGTTGCGTGACTAAACCCAGAGCTCCCCAATTGGTGGTGTGAGCTCCTAAGGCTTCGGCAAGGGCGTTCTTGAGTCCAGTTATGGTTCCTGCCTGGTTATTCTCCATCTGTTCCCCCTCATGGATAGGGTCCAGGATGGTATCCTCGGTCCATCACCCAGCTCTCCACCGCCCATCCAGATTCTCCCACACATCTTTGGGACACTTACACTTTACTAGGATGTGCATATCCTTATTGTGTAAACCATGCATCTCCCCTAGGCTTTCCAGCTTATCCCAAAATTCGGTGTTTCTATGATCTCGCTTTAGGTCTGGTAGGTCTGTTACCAGGGCCTGCTTCTCTAAGGCGGTGAATGGATGGTACACGGAGGTGGTTTCAGAATGGAATCCTTGTGTAACATGTCCCTCATCATCAACATTCCGAATTTTCCTGGTTTGTATCTTGATCGAGGCCATATGTGCAATCTGGTCCCCTTCAGTCATCATCGGTGCCTTCTTCCCATCCTTGGTGTTGTGCTCTAACGACCCATATAGGGTTGGATACATAGGGGAGTAGAGGGGAGAATGCAGGAGCTTCCCCCCCACATTTGGGAGAGGCGGCGCAGTTGGTATGGGCACACCATCTGAGAAATCAGTCTCTCTCTCTTGGTGGCACCGAGGTGCAGCAGCTTGTGGGTTCCATTTTTCACTGTGGGGCAGATTTTTGCTCTTCTGAGCTTCAATCTCGTTCCTCAGGGCTTTATTTTCCTTTTCCTTTAATGTAAGGATATCAAGCAGAATTATCACTGCTTCCTCGATTTTGCCACTCTTTTGTTCAGTCCACCACTGGATTAAATCCTTCTCTGATGCGACTGCAGAGTAGCCTGCCTTCTTGACAGCCGCTTGTCGAATTTGTGCATGTTTGTATTCTAGATATTCTCATGGGCTGGCTTTCATTTCTCCCTGTGATGTCATAGTCTCAATCTCTCTGCTCCTTCCTTTATCACACTGGTTTGTATCTCCCTTTTGCTTAACCCTTTGCTTTTCTTTTCCTCATCTTTTCCAACCTTGATTCAGGGGCACAAACCCTCCGGATTAAGTGTAGGGGTTTTGGGGTTTATGGCATTTGCGCGAAGCTTTCCTCCCTTGGTCACAGCCACTGACATCCCACACACTGGGTAATCTTGGGAATCTCTCCCTCCCTTTTCTCTTCACACAGCTTTGCCGTTCCCACCAGGGGATGAGTAATCCTCCTCAATTGTCATGGCCCGAAGGGCACGGCCATGGGTCAGCCTTTCCCTCCTACAATTCTGTATACTTATACTGCACAGTCCTTGTGCTTTCTGGCACCCTCCCTCTGCCGGCTGGGTTGGGGATCTGCACTATTCGAGGGTGTATACATCACATGCCTGTTGGGGGGCTTCCAGAAGGTCTTGCAATGTTATGTGCAATGAGGGAGTGGACCACCAGTTTATACTGCCTGCCGCCTTGTGTACCCAGTCAATTCTGAGCTTAACGTATGGCTCAATAACTCACTGGTGGTTTTATCCAGTCCCTCCGTAACAGCCCCTTAGCTCAAACAGTATACTGCCCTCTTGTGCTTGTCCCCTCAGGCCTGCCTCTATGATTGGTTCACACCATCCAGGTGTCTCATGCCTCAAATGGG